ATGGGGAAAGTCGGGCACTTGGCACCGCACCAAACCCGCAGGCCTTTCGGTGAATAGCTGAAGTCACCGCCGGAGCGGTGAGCCATGCACAGCTCATCCCCGCACTGCGAGATGTGAGCCGGGGGCACCGCGGGGCTGCAGGGAGGGAGCACAGAGCCCCGGCGGGACCGGCCTTTGTCCGGGATGCCGGCGGCACTGACGGGAACGCGGCGGCGCTGGCTGCCCTTTGTGCATGGAACAAAGAACAGTCAGAGGGCTTCCTTCGCTGTCCACAGGCGGAAAGGAGCCAGAGAGGGAAACGTCACTCGGCAGAGATGGGCAGCGTGTCGGCGGTGCTCGGTGTCCTGCCACCGGGCCAGAAACGGGCAGCGCCAGCTAATGTCACCTCCCTGGCCCTGCCTGCAGGTGCAGGCATGGGGGCGGCGGGGACCCTGATGTCACCACAGACAGATTTGCCATGCTGCGATGCTGGTCTTCATTCCAGCAGGCGGAGTGGGTTATCCAGCTCCAAAACCTCAGGCATCAGGAGAGACAAAAACTCGGGAACATTTCCAGGTGAAGCTGGCTTTATGCAGATGCACCACAGGCTCACGACCGACTCGCTGCCCCCAGCTGATTAATTTAGTCCTTACAATTTGTCCTGTTTTTTTATTTCAACAGGCTGTATTGCTTCAACTCCGAAAGCGTCTGGTCACCTTGAGGAGCTCTGCTTGGCATCTGCCTTCCTCAGTGAGAGCGGGAGGAAAGCCGAGTATCAGCTCACTTACTCACTTCCCATCCTCTCCTCCACCCAAACTCGTCTGCCCGATGCCAAGACAAAACCCCGCTCACTCATTTTCCTGCCGTCCCAGGGCTGCAGGTGGCCTCCATCCCTGCACTGGAATTGGGGCGGCCAGGAGGGCTTCTACTGTGGTGCGGTCGTGGGTGAAAGCCCAGGGTCGTGGTGTTTTTGGGCTGCCACAGCCTTACAGCCACTCTTGCCAGCCTGCAGCCGTGCTGACACTAAAAGGATTTGGGGGATGTAGCCGGGCACCCCCCGCTTTTGACCGTGCCTTGTGAGATGCGCAGTGGCAGCTCCTCAAGGGGGCTCAGAGGTCCCCTCCCGTTTTGTCGGGACACTTCGGCACCGCCGCGGTCCCTCATCGCCACCGGCCGTCCCTGCGCATGCATGTTCCCGATCTGGGACCATTCCTGCGATCCTTGTGCCATCTAGTGGGACCTGCACCAAGCACACTGCGGGGTGTCCGAGCGGCAGCGGGCGGTGAGACCCCGGCCAGAGCCCCCGGCTCACCCGGCGGTGGGGGAGACCCACATGGGCAATCAAAGGGCGCTTCTAAAGAGAAGCAGCGGTCAGTGCTGATCGCTAACAGAGGGACCACGAGCAGGCGGGCAGCCGCGGTCCCCAGGAGACCCAGCACCCAGGGACCCCGAGCTGCAGCCCCCCAGCTGTAGCAGTAGCAGCTCCAACTGCCCAGAGATTCAGCTTTTAGCCCCAGTGTTGTGCCCAGAGTGCCAGGGTGCTCAAACTGTCCCGCTGTGCCTGCCGTGCAAGCTGTGCCTGCCGTCCTTGCTGTGTCTGCAGCCTGTGCTGTGCCCAGCCTGGGATGTACAGTGTGCCAGGGATTCCTGGGGTGCTGATCTCCAGTCTGCTGACCAGCGAAAGGACACAGGAGAGGGAATAAAGTTGCTTCAGGGGAAGTTTGGACTTTAGGAAAAGGCTTTTCACTGAGAAGGTGGTGAGATACAGGGACAGACTCCCTAGGGAAGTCACGGCATCAAACCTGCAAGTTAAGGAGTGTCCGGATGATGGTTTTGGTCATATGGTTTACTTCCAGATTGTCCTGCAAGGACCAGGGAATTGAACTCGATGTTTCTAATGCATCCCTTCGAACTCAAGATAGTCTGATTCTGTGATACCACAGTTTGATGCTATTGCCAGGATGAAGCCAGCATACTCCAAGACACCCCCAGTCACCACAGCACAGCTCTTCAGCAATGCCAGCTGGCCTAGCTGAGGGAACAAAGTCTTATTTTACCCAAAAATGTTAGGTTTGCCCTAAAAGGTTTCATCTTGTGCTTCATCCTGGCTGTTGGGTCCAACTGCAGAGCTGTGGCCATATGCAGAGGTGTGGGGAGCAGGGATGGCTCAGCAACCCCAGTGCTCATTGTGGGGCTGCAGTGCCACTCTGTGCTTGCCCAGCGCCTGCAGCCACTCATGCAATATTTCTGGGTCTCAGTTCATGACCTAGGGCAACCATCTGCTTCAGTCTGACCTATTCCAAATGGGGGCTCCTTGCGAACAGATTTAAGGGGGCCTGCTGACCATGGCCAGGCTGGAAACCTAGAACTAGAGGAGAAGGGCGCCAGGACAATGATGTTCGGACCGCAGAAATGCATCGCATCTTTAGATGATGCACCCCAGACCAAGGAGGTTTGATTTTTGCAAGGGTAAACCCCACAAATCGCAGGATGCTGCAATGCATCCTCGAGCCTGCTGGTGTCACCAAGACACGTATGTCCAAGCAAAGAGTAAAGATACACTTGGAAAAAAGTTTGCCGGTTTTAGAGCCGCGAGCGGGTTAAAGCCGCAACCACGCACCCGCGGCTCTGGCCAAACCGCCTGCAAAATCGCTTCACCGGCTGCAAGAGACGGCGCCGGTTCCCCTGGCACAAGACGCTGGGATAGGGGCGTAGGAGAGCAAAGCATCCCTCGCCTCCAGCTTTTTGGGGTTGTTTCCAGCAGAAAAAAAAATCTGATCTTGGAAAGAACACGCACGAGCTTTGCAATTTTGCTTTAATTTGATTTGGTTTTCCCTGCTTCGCTCGATCCTGGGCGAGAAAAAGGTGTTGGTGTCCCATGGCATCGATTCCACGTGCGGCGGAACACAAATCCTCTTGGCCGCTAATACTGGCCAATTTTTTGTCTGAAAGGCATCCAGCAAAGGGAAAGAGACAGGGGCAAAATGGAGGTTTGGGGTTTTGCCGCTTGGCCAGGAAGGAGCCAGCGCGGGGATGCGTGAGGATGCAGATGCTGCGCGGCCACCGCTCAGCCGGGGGCCCCGTGTCCCCAGCCAGGCGCCCACGCCCTGGGGCAGACACGTGTGTGCAGCCCAGCCCAGCCACGGGCAATGTCCCCACCCGTGTCCACGCGTGTCCGAGCCGCCAGGCCCGGCCTGTGTGAGCAGCCCCCGAGCAGCGGAACCCCACGCGTGCCCCCCGGCAGTGCCACGGGGCAGGACACGCAGCGCGGCCCGGGACCGGCCCCCGGGCGCGGGCGGGGGGCGGGAGCGGCGTTGGGGGGAGGAGGAGGAGGGGGAGGAGGAGGAGGAGACTCGGCCGCAGCTCCCGGCCCGCGCGGGCCGCCCGCTCCGCCGCCGAGCCGACACCGCCGGGTGAGGGACCGGGCCGGGCCGGGCCGGGCTGGGCTGGAGGGCGGGAGGCGGCACCGGCCGTACCGGGAAACTTGCGAGAAACTTTGGCGGGGGAGGGGCCGCGCCGGGCCGGGCCGGGCCGCGGTGGGACGGGCGGGGCCGTGGCGAACCGGGCGGGGCCGGGCCGAGCGGTGCCTCCCGGCCGAACCGGCAGGAATTCCGCCGCAGCGGAGGAATGTGGGACTCCCGCCCCCCGGGCCGCGGCCAGTGAGTGACAGAGCCCGGGGGGCGAGTGGGGCCGCCCCCGCCGGGAGCCCGCGGAGAGGGGCCGCGATCCGCCCGTGCCGGTGACCCACGCGTGCTTCCCGCGGGTGTCCATGAGCCACGCGTGCTCCTCGCGGGTGTCCCGTGGATGTTCGTGCTCCACACGTGCTCCCCGTGGATGTTCCAGGGGTGCCCCAGGTCCACGCGTGCTCCCCGCGGGCGCTGCACGGTTGCCGGTTCTCTGCATGTGTTCCCGTGGGTTTTGCTTGGGTGCCTGTGCACCATCTGTGCTCCCGTGGGCGCTGCTTGTGCCGGGTCCTGCCAATGCCTGAGATTCCTCCAGGAGCAGCCCAAGAGAGCACGGGCCTGGGCTTGTCGCTGAGTTTTAGCAAAACTTCACCATTTCAGCAAATATCACCAGAAAAAATAGTTCTTTCCCCCATGCAAACTCCAGAACTGCCAGCGGCCTCTGCTCCCGCTGTTCCAGCACTGGCTCTCCCAGCCCAGCCGGATTCGGTAGCAGGTCTGGGCTGCACCGTCCCAAAAACCTGCCGGGGCTGCGGGCAGCCGCGGCTGGACCCTGTACTTATCCCATTAGGACGCACAGCAGCCTCCCATTGAGGTTTCCTGGGGCGGTTTGCCTGCCTGGCCGCACCGGGATGTGAGATCCAGGACGGGATGTGAGGTCTGTGCCTGGATGTGAGGTCCATGCCGGGATGGAGACACTCAGACCCTTTGTTGCGGCATCATCGGGGAGCACATCCAGCTGCCTCGACACGCGTCCTGCCGCCACGCCACGCCAGTCCAGCAGCTCTGGCTCTCCTTCCGGAGCTGTTCCTGCTTTGCTGGCGCCGGATCCGGGCTGTAACCCTCGCTGGAGCTGCTGGGGTGCAGCTGAGTACCCCAACTCCAGCTCCGGGGATGGTGTTGGAGGCTCACGGATGATGTCATCAGATGACCTCATGCAGATGACATCATGCGAATAGCATGTAGATCTTCATAGCCTGTCTTCCCTTCGTGGTGCGCTGGCAGAGGTGTCTGCGGAGCCAAGCTGAGACCAGATGCCGGTGGCTGGGCTGTGGGCTGTGGTCCTCATTGAGGACCTCACTGGTGTCTTCATTGGGGATCTGCCTGGGGCCATCACTTGGCTGCCTGCTGAGGACCTGGCTGGGGACATCGCCAGAATCCTCACTGAGGACCATCCCAGGGATGTTGTCACTCAGTGTGCCGCTCCCCAAAACCAGGGACCGTGCCCCCGCCGCCCCTTCCCTCCAGCCACCCACCGCAGTCGCCACCTGACCCCTCCTGTCTCCTGCAGGTCCCTGGCTGCAGGACGGTGAGGCCATGCCCTAGGGCATCCCCGCCATGAGCCAAAGCGGGGCCTCCTCTCGCCTGGCCGGCTCCCCGCCGCTGTCGGGGGGCTCGCTCCTGGCCCTGCTGGCCCCCGAGCCGTCCCCGTCCCCCCCCAGCGGGACACCCTCGCCCGGGCCCCCGCCGGCGTTGCTGGAAGGGGACTGGGAAGGGCGGGAGGAGCTGCGGCTGCGGGAGCTGGAGGAGGCGCGGGCGCGGGCGGCGCAGATGGAGAAGACGATGCGGTGGTGGTCGGACTGCACGGCCAACTGGAGAGAGAAGTGGAGCAAGGTGCGAGCCGAGCGCAACCGGGCGCGGGAGGAGGTGCGGCAGCTGCGGCACCGGCTAGAGGCCCTCACCAAGGAGCTGGCCAGCCTGCGCCGCGACCGGGACCGCGACCGGGACCGGGACAGGCCGGACGAGCGCCCGCCGCCGCCACCAGCCAGCGCCGGCAGCCCACCCGCTGATGGAGCAGAGGGAGACACCGGCCCTGAGCAAGAGCCTGTGCGGGATGTGGGCACTGAGGTTCCCCAAAAAGCCAAGGTGGGGGTGCGGAGCTGCCCAGGGAGAGCAGGGGAACAGGGGAGCTCCTCATCCTTGTCTGCTACCCATGTGCACCTCCAAACCACCACTGCCTGTCCTGTAAAGATGGGCAGTGTGGGAGGGGACTGCTCTTGGGGCAGACCCCTCTCAGAGCAGTACAGGGTGGTCAGACCCCTCTTGGATTAGTATGGGAGGTGTCAGACTGCTCCAAGCAGGATTTTGGGCTCAGACCCCTCTTGGAGCAGTATAGGGTAGTCAGATCCCTCTTGGAACAGCACTGGGGGGATCAGACTCCTCAGAGCAGTGTCATGAAGAGATCCAGAACCATCATAGCCCCACGCAGATCGCCTTGGCACTGGCACCAGTCCGTTTCCTGGGGCTTTCTCTTCAGGGGCACTAGGCAAAAATCACAGTGCCAGTACAGGGAATGGTGGCATTGGCAGTGCTGGTGGCATCTCCCAGCCACGGCTTGACTGTCAGGGTGTTCATAGGGGCTTCTGGGAGGAGTTTCTGCTGAAGGAAGGAGGGGGAGGAGGAAGGAGGGGACACCAGAGCCACCTCAGGAATGCTCCCAGCTGCTCCAGCCATCCCTCCTCTGCTGCTGTTGGCTCTGTAACAGCGCAGAAGTCACTGCTCGGAGTGCCATGCTATAACAGTTCAGTCCATTTGACAGCACAGCTGCCAGGTGATAAATCTGAGATTAATGTGAGCATCCCCCATGGGCTCCACACTTGGTCCCCAGGGACATCCTGTCCCCCAGAAACCCCAGTGGCTCATTTACTGTGTGCTCAGAGCACCTGGTAGAAGGTCACCCATGTCGCAGTCCTGGGTGAGATCAGTGTCATAAATTGTTTTTAAATCTTTTGATACCAAATTTCCAGCATGACAGGGAGCCGGCAGCAGAGTGTGGTGATATGTGGGAGCACCCCTGAGAGGGCAAGTCCTTCTTCATCAGCCTTAGGGGATCCCTGGGGAATGGAGGGAGGGATGCTCTTGGTTTAGGGTGAGAGCTGGGTGCTGTAAGGGCTGGGAAGCCCTCTCACCATGTCCCCTGTGCTGGGCCACCCACGGCGCCACAGGAGCTGGAGCTGATGGAAAACATCTTGACGAGCAAGCAGGAGGAGAGCTGGGAGCAGCGGGGCCCCCGGGCCTCCTTCAGCCGCCAGGAACGGAGCCGCCTGCTCTGGGAGGACGTCAGCGTCGTGGAGGAGGATGCCACCAAAGTCACTGCCCTGAAGCTGAGGCTGGATGAGTCCCAAAAAGTGCTGCTCAAGGAGCGGGAGTGAGTGCTTGGCACATCACCCTGCAGGGTGCCAGCTGATCCCAGGCTGGTCCCCACTGGGATGGCATGTCCAATGAGGTCCTGCAGTGTGTCACTATCATTGCCTTTCCCCAGGGACAAGCTGGCACTCAGCAAGAACATCGAGAAGCTGGAGGGCGAGCTCAGCCAATGGAAGATCAAGTACGAGGAGCTCAACAAGAACAAGCAGGAGGTGATGAAGCAGGTGAGTGAGGTGCCTGGGGAGCAGAGCTGCCCCAGGGGGTGGCCTGTCCCTCAGAGAGTGGCACATCCTGGTGGACATAGTGGCTCACAGCCACTTCCCCGACTCCAGGTTGCTTGTTAAGGGTCTTTGTTAATGCTATTGATGCAGTGGGTCCATCCATAGAGGATGGGTGGATAGTGTGGGCAGGTGGAAGGTGGGTGTTCACAGCTCCCTTTATTGCCATGTCCCCCCCCATAGCTCAACATCCTGAAGGAGATTCATCAGGATGAGCTGGGGCGCATCTCCGAGGACCTGGAGGATGAGCTGGGTGCTCGCTCCAGCATGGACAAGAAACTGGCTGAACTGCGTGCAGAGGTGAGGCCAAACCCCAGTGTGGGGGCCAAAGGGAGCAGTGAGGGGGGTGCTGCTGCCCCCAGCCACGCCCTGTCCCTGTCCCAGATGGAGCGGCTGCAGGCAGAGAACGCGGCTGAGTGGGGCCGGCGGGAGCGGCTGGAGACGGAGAAGCTCAACCTGGAGCGGGAGAACAAGAAGCTGCGGGCACAGATCGAGGACCTGGAGGAGGTGCTGGCTCGCAAGCGGCGCCAGACAGCCAGTGCCCTGGACACTGACCTCAAAACCATCCAGGCTGAGCTCTTCGAGAAGAACAAGGTGCCACAGGGGTGGTGCTGTCCTCCACCACTGCATCCCTGGGTGAATCTGTTGTGACTCCCTCAAGCCCAAATTTTGCTAACACCCTTCAAGGGATGGTGGTGACCCCATCCTCGCTCCATCAGCTCCTGGGTCATGGGGTGGGGCAATGGGAGAGGTCCCTGGGGAGGGAGGAGGGGGCACTCAGTGGTGGGGGTGGCTGTCCCTTGCTCAGCCCTCTCCCCATGCCCTCCACAGGAGCTGGCTGACCTGAAGCATATCCACACCAAGCTGAAGAAGCAGTACCAGGAGAAGATGGCCGAGCTGGCCCATGCCAATCGCCGTGTGGAGCAGCACGAGGGAGAGGTGAAGAAGCTGCGCCTGAGGGTGGAGGAGCTGAAGAAGGAGCTGGCCCAAGCTGAGGATGAGGTGGGAAAGCTCATGCTGGTGGAGAGGGTCAGGGAGCTGTTCTGCTCCCTATGCAGCTGCCAACAGCACCATCCCATCCCATCCCATCCCATCCCATCCCATCCCATCCCATCCCCTCCCACAGCTGGATGAGGCCCACAACCAGACACGGAAGCTGCAGCGTTCTCTGGACGAGCAGACGGAGCAGAGCGAGAGCTTCCAGGTGCAGCTGGAGCATCTGCAGTCACGGTGAGCAGGGGCTGGGTGAGCCACACCAGGAGCAGCAAAGATGGGATGATGTTCTCCTTGCCACCATCCCTCAACCAGCATCTGCCTGGTTGAACCCTGGGCTAAGGATGGCCAAAGTGTCTCCGACACCCTCGGAAGGGGCACAGCCTTCCTGTGAGCAGTCTTCACCCCACTTTGAGCTGGGTGGCATTCACCTCCCAGTTAAACCAGCACAAGGCTGCCCAGAGACCAACTCAGCCCAGTTTTATGCTGCTTAGTGTTGCACCCACTAGTACCCATGGCCAGGGCAAGCTCCTAGCATCCCACACTCGTTGGGGGAGGTGGGAGCTGAGTTTTCTTGCCCTTAAAATTTTATTGGCCCTGCTTTGCCTCTCCAGCAGTAAAGAGCTGAAATGGCTGTGGGATCAATGCTGTGGCTCCAAGAGGCGCTGGGGGGGGGTGTTTATAATCATCCTTTATTTTATTGGGACATCTGCATTAAATCATGGAAGCATAATGGAGGATTCATCGGCCCCCCCCAGGCTCCCTGTGCGCTCAACCCTAAATAATTCATGCTTTCCAGTAAAATGTAGTGGGCTGCTTGGATCTCACTGGATCCTGGGCCTTTGGATTTCAAATTTGATTCATAAATTTTCCTTGATAAATTTTCACGCAAGGGCAAGAAAAGTAAAAGAGCTAAAACCATCACAGGTTCCTAGGAATGGGGACTCCTGGGGTTTTTGGGGGGTTCCTCAGTTTAGGGGGATGACACCTCCCTTCTCTGCAGTCCTGGCTAGGTCTGTGCTGCCCAGCACAGTGATGTCCAGCCAGGGCGGGGTTTATCCTGTGCCCCACTTTGTGCCGAGCACCATCCACAGCTCCCCATCCCATGCTGTAGTGTTGGCCCCACACTGCGGGGGCTCATCCTGCACTCAGCACTTAGTGAGGGCTGCAGGAAGGAATCTCTGGGGTGCAGTCATGCCGTAGGGGTGCAGGGGAATGGGCTTGGCTTCAGGGCCCCCCCCAGGGCCGCGCTGCCACCCCGCCCCAGCAGCTGTCCCCCGCAGGCTGCGGCGGCAGCAGAGCGCCCCGCTCTTCGGCAAGATGCGCAGCGCCCGCTTCGGCCCCGACGACGCTGGGGACGGCACCAGTGACCCCGACGAGGATGAGGACCTGCAGATACAGGTGCCCTAGAGCCCAGGGCCAGTGCCACCACCGCAGCACGTCCCACATCAGTCCTCTGCATTCAAGTGCACGTCGCCACGGGGCTCAGCTGTGCGGTGATCCTCGTATAGATGGGGAAACTGAGGCACGGAGCGGTGGGGAGAAATTTGCCCAGGGGTGCTCCAAAACCCACCGCCTCTTGGACAGTACTGGATGCCCCTTTGGCCACTGGCATCTCCTGGAGCACTGATGTGGCCACCGAAGCCAGCGTCACTGAGCAGCCCAGGAGGAGGAGGCGCAGGCAGAGAGAGGCACCAAGCTTGGCAGCCACGAACTGCCCACTTCTTTTTATATATATATTATATATATGTATGTATTTGTATATGATTTTTTATTAAAAATACAGAGCCCAGATGGGCCGTGGCTCTGGTGGCGGTGTGAGCTGCTGGTCTGTCCCCACACAGAAGCGAGGGTGGGGAGGGGACACATCGGGGATATTTGGCATTTCTTCACCAGCCATGCATGGGCCTGGATGTCACCCAGTGGCATCCCTGTCCCCATGCCTGGAGACCAGCCCAGTGTGGGGGTAAAGCCTGTCCCTGGGCCTGTGCAGTGAGGGGTGCTCACCCTGGGGAGGTGCAGAGGTGCTCACCTGTGGGTGCTGATCACCCCAGCACAGCCCCTTCAGCCCAGCCCCCCAGCACACGGCCTTGGGGGCTTTGGAGGCGCTCAGACACAACCTTATTAAAAATTAATATTTCGGTGAGCTAATCCCCTCGCTCTGCCTTTTAATTGATTGGCTAAAAGCACAGCTCTTTGCTGCTCATGGGGTTTTTTAATTCCCTTTTATTTCCAGCGATTATTCATATTTTTATGGCTCAACAAGTGAATCCACAGGGGGTGGGGGTGCCTGGGGGCAGTCTGAATGAGAGGCCTGGAAACCAATTTGCGGGGCACAAAGAGGGGATGAGGTGACACCTGAGCGGAGGGACAGACAGGAGGCTGCTGCCGCCGCCCGTCAGTCGCTACGGGGTGTTCACTGTGAAGCGTGATGATGATGGAAACCTCTTTGCAGGGCGGGCGGTTGTGGCTCAGGTTGGGCAGCCCGGGGGTGGAGGGAGGGCACCGGGGCGGGGCCGGGCGGGGCGGGACCGGGCGGGGCCGAGCGGCTCCGGGACTCGCAGGGCGCGGAGGCTCCGGCGGGTCCGCTGGCACCGGAGAGCCGGGTAAGGCGGGGGAACCGGCGGGGGAAGGGGGACGGGCGCAGGGGGTGACACAGGACCGAGGTTCGGGCTGACAAGAGTCGGGGGCAGACGGCCGGGGGGGTGACAACGCCCGGAGGGACGTCCCGCTGGGAGACCCGGGAGTGATGGGTGATGAGGGGTCGGGGGGCGCCAGGTGTGGGGGTGCCGAGGGGACAGGTCGCCCTGTCAGGTGCCCCCCAGCATCTCTGAGCTCCCTGGGGGTGTTCATGTGCGTGGGGTGGGGTGATGGGGATGGGGAACGGGGGGGATATTCTCATCAGAGGGAGCGCTGCCCCCGGCCTCTCTCGAGACAGCGGGCGGTCCCCAAGGTGCTGTCCCAGTCGGATTCCTCTGGATGCTGGGCTTTGGGGACCAGGGTGTCGCCGGCATGGAGGAGCATCCCCGGGGATGGCCCTATTCTGTTTCCTGGGTTACTGCCTTCTACCTGGAATTTCTTCACACGGGAAAAAGAACCTGGTCCCCACCTGGTCCCAGCAGTCGGGACTGGAGGAACCAGCAGGGACCAGGCTGAGCGAGGCCGAGCTCATGGTAGGGTAGGAGGGAGGCTGGGTTACACCAGGGGGGCGAGGTTGGAAGCCGGGGGCCCCCTGGCACCCCACAGCAGAGCTGGCCTGGCCGCTACCGCTGATCCCAGCCGGTGTCCTGCCACCGGGGCCATGCTGTTGCCCAAGCGAGAAGCCCGGGTGGAAGGAGGGGGAGTGCGAGAGGTGATGGAGACCTGTGGGCGAGGTCAGGTGTGGGTGTCCCCTCGGACACATGTTGGAGCTGGCGGCAGGGGACTGACCACTTGTCTGTGCCACCGTGGCTCCACCGTGCTGGCAGGGGTTAACACCGGACTGTTCCACTCGGATGGTTCAGGCAGCGAAGGGAGGAGGAAGAGGAGGAGGAGGAGGAGGAGGGGAAGGAGGAGGAGGAGGACGACAAGGAGGAGGGGGAGAAGGACGAGGAAGATGTCACCCGTCGATCTGTCATTTCTCTTTTCCAGCCAGCATGGGGGACACTGCTAGCAGCAAGCTGGGCCGGTAGTGAGACAGGAGGGGTACGGAGGAAGAGGATGGAGAGGGGGGGGCGAAGGTGAAGGCAGCCCCCCCCTCCCAAAATATCCCCTACCCTATCGAGCCATCGCCATGGCGACGAATTTTAACGACATCATCAAGCAGGGCTATGTGAGGATGAAGAGCAAGAAGCTGGGGGTGAGTGGGGATCTTGGGGAATGGGGAGATATGGGGGGGACACCCATGGATTTGAGGTGCTGGTTTCCCAGTGAGGTGACGTGGACAGGTCCCTCTTGCCGAATCCTGTGCCCGTTTTGGGATTGAATAAGCAGCCCCCCTTTTGGAGGCTGTGGAGGCAGAGGGGTGGGGGATGGCAGGGACGGGCCACTTGTTGGTACCCAAGTCACCCAGCAGCCCCAGGGGTCCAGCTCCTGCACTGGCCGAATCCTGCACCGAGTAACACCCGCTCACCTGTCCCAGGTCACCCAGGGTTTGGGGGATATCTGAGAGCCTTCCCTTCCCCCCGTGCCTCAGTTTCCCTGCACACACAGTTTGACATCGGAGATGCCCCACACCGGGAGGGGTTGAAGCTGCTGGGTGCAAATTAGGGTGGTGTGGGAGTGCAGCACCCATAGGTGGGGGGTCAGGGGGTTTGGTCGCCCATCTCCGTGGTTTGGAGCCGGCAGCCACGAGCATGCTGGGTAATTTCATGCTAATTAAGGAGAACAAAGAGGGAGCGGGCTCGAGGCGGGGGGGACATGCCTGGGGACGGTGGCCCCACCACCTTCAGAGACAGAGGATAGAGGAGAGGGGACGGGGAAATGCCAGAACAGCGGTCCCCTTGGGAGCTTTGTCTGTGTTCATGAATTAAGCTCTGTAATTAGCACTGGCGGGGGGTGGGGGCAGATGATGGCAGCCCCGGCACATCCCTATCCCTAGCATCCCCTCCTGTCCCCAGGCCAGCAGGATCAGCAGAACCAGGCACGGGTCCTGGGGATGGGGACAGGGGGACGTGGGGATGTGGTGGGGACAGGGACCCCCACCTGCACCAAGCAGCCGCGTTTTCTGTCCGGCAGATCTACCGGCGGTGCTGGCTGGTCTTCCGCAAATCCTCCAGCAAAGGGCCCCAGCGCTTAGAGAAATACCCGGATGAGAAGTCGGCGTGCCTGCGGGGGTGCCCCAAGGTGAGGGGGTGCGCTGGACGGGTGCTGGGGTGCTGCTCACTGCTTGGGGACCCATGCCAGGGCAGGTCCTTCCCTGGCTAAACTCGCTGGGAGGCTGTCAGCCCCTGCGCTCCGGATGGGGATGGAGCTGGGTCTGGGTGCAGCAGGTGTCAGGGTCTGGGAGCAGCAGGGAACAGGATCTGGGTGCTGCAGGTGTGAGGGTCTGGGTGCAGCCCTTAGTGACCCCCCCCAACTCCTGTGCAGGTCACCGAGATCAGCAATGTCAAGTGCATCACGCGGCTGCCAAAGGAGACCAAGAGACAGGCGGTGGCCATCATTTTTACAGACGACTCCGCCCGGACCTTCACCTGCGACTCAGGTACAGGGCAGCGCCCAGGGGAGCCGGGCTGAGGGTGCTGGGTGGGGCACCCCGGCGTGGCCAGGGTCGCCCAGGGGCTGCCGTGGTGCCTTGCAGAGCTGGAGGCGGAGGAGTGGTACAAGACGCTGTCGGTGGAGTGCCTGGGCGCCCGCCTGAACGACATCAGCCTGGGGGAGCCCGACCTGCTGGCGCCCGGCGTGCAGTGCGAGCAGACGGGTGAGCGCGGCGGCGGGTGCTCGCCCGGGGCTCCGCCTCGCTGCACCCCCCGCAGATTATTTTATTTTCTATTTTTTTTTCCCCTCTCCAGACCGGTTCAACGTGTTCCTCCTCCCCTGCCCCAACCTGGACGTTTATGGCGAGTGCAAGCTGCAGATCACCCACGAAAACATCTACCTCTGGGACACGCACAACCCCCGGGTGAAGCTGGTCTCCTGGCCCCTCTGCTCCCTGCGCCGCTACGGCCGCGACGCCACCCGCTTCACCTTCGAGGCTGGACGGTGAGATGTCACCCCTGCCAGGACAGGGATCACAGCTGGGTGCCTTCATCCAGCTGGGTGCTCCAGGCAGTGGCACTGCTGGCATCACCACAGAGCATGCCTGAGGCTGGGGTGATGGCCATGGCCTGTACATGTGCCCGTTCTGGTTCCCAGCTCAACACTATGAAAGGCACAGCTCTAACAGTATGGGAAGCTGTGCCAGCTGCCATCTGGGGTGGGTTTTGTTTGTCATCCGTTGGCTTGAAGACCTTGGTGACATCCTGTGCCCTGTTCCCACAGGATGTGTGATGCAGGAGAAGGTCTCTACACCTTCCAGACCCAGGAGGGTGAGCAGATCTACCAGCGTGTGCACAGTGCCACATTGGCCATCGCTGAGCAGCACAAGAGGGTCCTGCTGGAGATGGAGAAGAACGTCAGGGTGAGCTCCAGCCCATGTTGAGGGGGGACACATCTGGGGAAGACTCTGGGGGCCCTGTGTCACCCTCCTCCCCCCATCTACTGCAGCTGCTGAACAAGGGCACTGAGCACTTCTCCTACCCCTGCACCCCCACGACCATGCTGCCCCGCAGCGCCTACTGGCACCACATCACTGGCTCCCAGAATATGGCCGAGTCCTCCAGCTATGCTGGTGAGTGTCCCCACCCCACCCCTAGGAGATGCTGCTCCTCCAGCCCCCAGAGCTTTCCCCACCAGGTGAGCCCACCCTCTGTTTTGTCCCCAGGGGAGGTGTATGCAGGTGCCCAGGCCAGCTCGGACACCGACCTCCTCAACAAGTTCATCTTGCTGAAGCCAAAGTCCTCCAAAAGTGACAAGCCTGAAAGCAGGGAGCCCACATCGTCCCCGTGAGCTGGTGTGGGGGGACTGTGTCAGGGGGTCCCCTTTTTCTTCTCCAAGGGGTGACAAGGATGCAGGCAGTCACCCCTCAGAACCTCCAGGAGACCGAGCTGGGGCACCTCGGTGCCAAGACCTTAGGAAGCAGGCACTGGCTCACGTCCTGGTCTGGCATTAGTGGAGGTGATGGCTGGCTCAGCCTCAACTGACTTCAAATATATATTGAATATCCGTATTGTAAGAGGTATTTCCTTCTCACATGAATGCAAATGTGGTGGCTGCTGAAGAGCCCTTGGGCGGATGCCTAGAGGTTTTTGACTCTTGGGGATCCAACTGGGAGGTTGAAGAGAGGTGGGGGGTCAAGAAATTCTGAGTTTTCTGCGTGGCAGGACGGCTGGAGCATCACTCTGCCATGGCCATGGAGCAGCGGCAGAGGATGCAGTTGTGCCAGGCTGATGGTGCAGGGTCCCACCCCTCTATGAAGAACAGGGTGCTCCTGAGGACACCCTGCCATCCCTGAGCTGATTTTTGCACTTCAAGCTATTTAAATGCTCGCTGTAGAATTGAGATGTCTCAGGAGAAACTGGTTTTCCTTCCAGGGGGATTGGTTGGGGTGAGCGGCCACATAGAGCTGAGCTCCCTGGCTTCTCCCACCCCAACACCCCTCAGTCCTCCCACAGCTGTGTCCCCCTGCCATGCCCCTGGTTTTCTGCTGGTGGGCAACCATGGGACTGGTTTTGGCCAGTAGCATCTGTCTCTCAAGGGGCAGCTTTGTGGATATGGGAAGCCCCAGGGCAGAGAAACCCATGCTGATGGGGAGAGAGCCACATTCCTCTGTGCATTCCCATGGCCCTCACTTCCCCCTCACCCGCTGGGGGTGGAACTGGGCTTTATGTGCTGAACTTAAAAGCAATTGATTTTTTCTAGTTCTCCTATTTATTGACCTCCTTTAGAAGGGCTATCTTTTTATTGCCGTGCAAACCTTGGTGTTCCTTTGGAGTCTTCTTTCCGTCTGGGTTGGATGCTTGGTGGTTTTATTTCTGCCCTTTAAAGCTCCAGGTCCATGTGTTGGGCACAGGGAGTGTCGTGATGTGGGAATCTGTGGTCTGTAAATACTGTGTTTCAGGGTGATGTAGCTTGTGGCTGAGGGGACATGGGGACAGAGAAAGGCTGCTCCTCGCAGCATGGCAGGGCACAGAGGGGCTCTGGATCCTAGCACTGCCCAGCAGTGTGTCCTCCCTAGGGTGAGAGGTGGTACTTGCTCTCTTTTCCTGGCTACACACCTCATCTGGAAAAGATTTAACATTTGTTACCAAAAACGTTTGGGTTTTCTGTTTTTTAAGGAGTTGCTCAATGAATAAACAACCCTTATCCACATCCACCCTTCCTGTTTGTCTGTTCCATCCAAGCGTGCTCGGGAAGCGCAAGTGGGAGTAGTGCCTGCCAGAGAGAAAAATGCTGATGGGGGGAGATTTCCTGAGGTTCCTGGCAGCATGCTTGGCTGAAGGCTTTGTTCTGCCTCCAGCTATGGCCAGGACATTTCAAGTGAAGCCCTAAAACTGCTGGGATAGGAAGAAGGCTGGAGCGAGTTGCCACTCTCCATCAAACAACTCTGAGTGGAACAGGATGCCAGCACCCCACTGTCACCCTCACCTCCAGCTGCCTGTGGCTCCAAGTCCCCAGGTGAAGGAGTCTGAAGGCACACCACCTCCCAGCTATCCCAGAGCTGTGCCAGGTAAGCTATCCATGCCATAACTGCCTGGCAGCACTGGCCTCAAGGTAAGAGAGCCATGCCAGCCAGCACAGTGATCCATCCAGGGACAGGGACTTGGGGAGCCATGCTGCAGCCAGCTCTGCCATGGCAAGGAAATGGAAGCAGCAGCCTGGCTGCAGTAGCTTTTGCCTGGAGGAGAAGGCAATGCTGACATGGGCTGCTCTCCTCAGCTCAGTGTGACCCTAGCACCACCCCCTGAACTGTCCTCATCCACACTGGGATGAGCACAGGAGCACACAGGCCTTCCCCTCCTTCCCAGCCCCCATGGTACAGGAGCTGCAGGTCTCTCCAGCAAAGTGTCACCAAGAAGCTCATCCCAAGTCATGCTGGACAGTGGGGAAGAGGAGGGGTGACAAAGGCTATTGCTTTCAGCCACTACCGGGGGGGTCAGGGCATGGGACCTGCACCAGACTCCACCCCAGCACACACTGGAGGCTGTGGGCACACCCAGCTCCTCAGAAAAGGGTTATACAGCACAGGGGTGGAGTCTGTTCCAGAGGATTCTGTAAGTACAGCTTTGCCTGCCTGGCCCTGCTGGGCTCCCCTGCAGCGCTGCCTTCTGCAGCATTTCGCCCACCCTGGCCTCAAACATCTGCTTTAAACACAGCACTGGATCAATGAACCACGGGCTGCCTGCAGGAGGGGTGCTGCTCTCCTCAGGAGATAATGTCACAAGCAGCAATCAGCATCAGCAGCAATGCTCCCTCCAAAGCAGATCTCATTAAGTTAATGTCTATTGGAGAGAAGTAAATGATGTGACATCTCCTCCAGCAGCCTAGGATGAGCTTTCACGGATGACAAAAAAATTTGGGGGTAAGGCTTTATTCAGCACAGTAAAGAATGGACATGTGAATAAGCTAGGGTTGTGTAACAAAGGTACACGTTTCCCAATCCCAAACATCACATGGCCAAAATCCAACACCAGAACCAAAACTCCAAGATAACTTGGAGACAAAGCTTGTCCCAGCTAAGATGCTCACTGACTGATTCCCTTCCCTACACATTTTACCCTATACATCACAATGGCTTTCCCTGGGAAGAAGGGACAGGAAAGAGGCGTCACCAACCACGTGCTGGGCCAGGAGAGGCAGAGGGAGATGATGGGGAGGTAAAAGCCTCTCCCCAGATCTCAGCCAGGCGTCACTCACAGCTCACAGTACTCTCTTGCAAGGGCCACCTCAGTTGATAGTGAGGACATCGCTCTGGATCTCGTGGCTCAGCTGTGTCTGGAGATCACTCAGTTTCTTCTTGAGGCCGGACAGTGCAGACAGGACGATGGTCTCAGGGCGCAGAGAACCACAGGACTCCACGTTGTAATAAAATCTGAGTTACAAGGCAGGAAATTAAGTCACCATCAGCTCTGCAAGGAGGTGCAAACCCAGATTGCACATCATCCCAGCCTATCCACACCCACAGCAGGGAGATCTGCCCGGAATCCCAACCATCATCATCATCATTCATCTCCCAAGAAGGCAACAGCCAGTGCTGCCTCTCTACAACCATCACACCAACACTCACAACTTCATGGGCTGCAAGAGCACTTTGAGATTGATTTCTGTTCAGCACTGTGACCTGCGAGCAAGCAGCCCCAAGCCAGAGACTAAGGCTGGCTGAGGCACTTTTGCAGTGCAAATAACACCAGCAATCAGAGCATGAGACACACACAAGTGAATTAATACCTTAAGCCAGGGTATTTCCCCCACAGGCCTCACACCTCACTGAGTGTGCATCACCTTGCCTGGCAACATGAACTCAGAGCTGTCTAGTATCTCCCAGAGGGGAAAACCTGCCACATCTGGGTATATCTCCACCTAATGCCAACTCCTGCCCTGCTTTTCAGGGAATGTCAGTTCCCTGGACTAACAATTTCAGCACAGTGTAGACATTCTTCTATTAATGAGAGCCCATGAGATGCACCCAGCCAGTCACCCCACCTTCCAGCTGCAGCACTGCATTCAGCTCCCTACCTCTCTGGCTTCCCGTTGGGGTCATAGGGAGCCTGAGCATCCTCATCGTCGATCTCTGAGTACTCACTCTTGGGCCTGGAATCAGAAAGCAGGAGAGGTTACACAGAGCCCCTGCTCCAGCCTGGCCCCACAGAGCCCAGGCACTCAAGGAGCAAGCATTGGAGCTCACATCCAGCACACAACAGGGTGGTTATCAAACACCAAGTCACAGAAATAAGGTCAGTCACACATTGTGCTTTCAGGCTGCTCATTAATGCCCCAGAGTCATCCAGAAGCCCTGGAAGAAGGGGATCAGCCCTGCTCTGCCCAAACTCAGCAAGCCCTGTACTGTGGCTCCATCCACCTACACTGCTACCATCTGGCAGGTGCTTACAGTGAAGGGATGTTGATTCCTGAAGGGACTGTGTTTATGGAGCCTGGATGCTTTTATGGGGTAATGGACCTTGGGTTATCTTTTCTTTCTACTTCCCACCAGGCCAGGAGAGCACTGGAGTACTGCAGCACTGAAATCAGTGAGGCATAGTTGTCTTGGACCCAGCAGGAAAAAAAATCTCAACAGACACCAGCTGCATCAGTGAGCTCCATCCTGATGTCCTGCACCTCCACTTCTCTCCTACAATCACTGCAATACCTGTGCATCAGTTAGGCAAACACATTTTTCTACTTGCTGCATCCCTTGGTTTATAGAGCACCACGCCAGAGACTGTGTGGAACCACTTAATCTATGTAAGAAAACCCAAAGCCTTGAGCTGTCTGAGAAGCCAGCACAGAAAATCCTGTACCCACCAAGGTCTCCTGCTGGCCTTCCTTTGCCCCAGCAATGCCCAGAAACACTGATCCCAGAACCCTGTAATCAGCTGCCTGAAATAAAACTGTATTTCTCAAACAAACGCTCTGCCTGTACAAACCACTGAGAGAGATGAAGTGTTAATGGAGATCGGATTTCTTGTTACTTGCAGAACCACCCATGACCAAAACAGTGCAGAGGTTTCCATGACCCTGACAGCTGTTTGGAGAGTCCAGCTGCATGCCAGTGCTCTGCCAACAGCCTCAAAAAACAACTAGCATGAAAAACGAAACCAAAAATCATAGCTAGCCTTGGACAGCAGAAGCCTTTGGCTCTATATTGTCTTCACAGCGAGTCAGATGAACTTGAAAAGACAGACATATCATCAAGAACTGGCAGCTCCAATATCAATCCTCTTCTGGGATTTTTCCAACTTTTTCATATAAAAGTGCCCAGTCTGTTGTATGCCATACCAGGTTTCTGAGCCTGCCATTGATCAATCCACTACCCTGCCCAGTCCCTGCTCTCAGCCTGCCCTGCCTAAAGAACCTGGCTCTTCACTGTGCTTCTGGCTCCAGCGTGCTCAGAGACAGGATGTCTGCTAGGTGATCATTGGGGTACAGAGCCAGGAGCAGCTCAGGGTACCCATTCATGAAAAGTGATGCTGGGTAAAGTCCTCACCCAGGCCAAAGCAGGGCAGCAGCTTTCCAAAAGTAAAATCATGTCACTTTTAGATAAGAAGCTGTGTGCAACTTGTGCAGAATGGTATTTCAGAGGAGAGGAAAGGGCCAGAGC